ATTTTGGGGGCATTTTCTACCTTGCTATCAGACATAAATCAAAGCTACTCATAGACTGAAGGACATAAAGTGATCTTGAAACCTGAACTACCCACAGTGTCTTGGGTGATGTCAGAGAAATGCTCTACTGGGTACTGCAGGGCCCAGAAGTGTTTGATAATGAAATGGAAATGGTTCATACAGGCTCATGCTGCTGGGAACACAAAGACATACTCGCAAGCAGGGAACCTTTCCCCACTGCAACCAACTTTGGAATGGAGTGAGGAGCTCCTGGCTTCTATTGTCACGTGGACAGTGCCCTATACGTAGCCCTTAACTGACCAACAAAGAGCTGCTTGGTTTGTGGACGGCAGTTCCCTGGTGAATGGGTAACATCCTGGTTGGAAGGCCAGTACTCTGATCAGAGAAGGTAAGGACAGAGCAGTTCAGTGGACTGACTTGCATGCTGTTTTCCCAGCAGTGATGGAAGAATTGAACAGGAAAATTCCCTATGTTTTTGTTTCTACCAACTCATGGGTAGTGACCAAGGGCCTGGCCATCTGAGCAGGCAGGAGGGCAGTGGAAACTTGGTCCCTGTGGAGATCCCTATGGGAACTTGAGGAGTGAATAAAGTAGGACATGCAGACGTCCATCTGAAGAACCCCCTTCCAGACTTGGAAGACGATTAGAATCAGCCAGCAGATATCTCTATGTGCTCACCATAAACTAAGCGTACAGGAAGACGGCAGTGGCTCTGGGGCAAATTCCCTGGGGCAAAGGCTTTGATCATAGCTGGCGAGTCAGAGTGATGCTGGTGGCCCTAGTGGGCTAAAGATGGGTCCTGGTCAGAACAGACACTGAGTCTGGACTGGGCTTTGCTTACTCAGCGATAGATGCAAATGCTCAGATGCTATTAAAAAAAACACACGCACCAGAACAGCCCTAGCTGGTTTGGCTCAGTGGATAGAGCGTCAGCTGTGGACTGAAGAGTCCCGGGTTCGATTCCGGTCAAGGGCACATACCTCTGTTGCAGGCTCAATTCCTAGCCCTGGTGGGCGTGTATGGGAGGTAACCAATCGATGTGTCTTTCTGACATCGATGTTTCTCTCTCTGTCTCTCCCTCTCCCTTCCACTCTCTCTGAAAATCAATGGAAAAATATCCTTGGGGGAGGATTAACAACAACAACAGAACAGAACAGAAGATAGTGCACCAATTATTATGGCCAATTGTCATTTCTTCAGGCCAAGGACCACACTTATAGCCCTGATGTCCAGCAATGGGCAGAGAGATGTCCTTCTCAGAGTTCTATTTGATAGAGAATTGGAAGGGGCAATAGAAACATTTATTGTCTAAAATGAAAGGAGATAAAGGCTTACACACCTTCATGAGTGTGTGCTCACACTCAGCAGGAACATGAGTGGGGCTAAAGGGGTTTCCCCACTGGATCTGGGGGGAGAGGGTGGAGAATTATGCTGGTAAGACACTGCCATTCTTCCCAAGAGGAGAAGATGGTGGTATAACGACTCAATCTTTTTCTTTCTTCTTTCCCACATCACCTTAACTGTTTTTTCATACCTGATTCAGTGGTCGTATAACCAGGGCTGCAAATGCAAGTGCCTGAAACAGCAATGATTCCTAAATAAGAGTTTGCAACTATATTTTATTTTATTTATTTATTTTTTAAATATATTTTATTGATTTTTCACAGAGAGGAAGAGAGAGGGACAGAGAGCCAGAAACATCGATGAGAGAGAAACATGGATCAGCTGCCTCTTGCACACCCCCCACTGGGGATGTGCCCGCAACCAAGGCACATGCCCCTGGCCGGAATCGAACCTGGGACCTTTCAGTCCGCAGGCCGACACTCTATCCACTGAGCCAAACCGGTCAGGGCTGCAACTATATTTTAAACCTTATGAGAGAATTCCTAAGGGCCTGGTGGAGCAAGATGTGCCTTCATCTGCTCCACCTGCCAAAATCGGTGTTCACAGTGAGTGCAGCTATATACCTGGTGGTAAGAACAGCTCACAAGGTCTGCACCGGTGTAACCTCACCCCACGCGAACGGGAGTGGATCGAAGGGGAGGCACTTGCTAGACTAGTGTTGCTGCTGCGATCTAGACCAGCACAACGGCCAAACCTAATGTCTCTTCCAACAGTGTAAGAGTCTGGGCATAAATAAAGCGGAGAAACAGCAGCTACGGCAGTGGTTCTCAACCTTCTGGCCCTTTAAATACAGTTCCTCATGTTGTGACCCAACCATAAAATTATTTTCGTTGCTACTTCAAAACTGTAATGTTGCTACTGTTATGAATTGTAATGTAAATATCTGATATGCAGGATGGTCTTAGGCGACCCCTGTGAAAGGGTCCTTCGACCGCCAAAGGGGTCATGACCCATAGGTTGAGAACCGCTGAGCTAAGGGAAAAGTTATGAACAAATGGGTTATGTAATGAGAGACCAATATTACATTAAAATTTCAAAAGAAGCTCAGAGCAAGAGATGATATCGTGTATTAGCACGATCATATCAGATACCTGAGAGGGTGTACCCATGTTTGCTGGGACCACTTCTGCTTTTGGAACCTCGGCTTTTGCAAGATTGAATGGAAGCCTGCAAACCTGAGGGGCCTCGTTCTGGGGGACGTTTTCATATGATATGATGACTGACTGAAATGAATACTAATGACTGTGTGGGGTTCTAGCAATGTGCCAATATCTTTTGAGTCGTATATCATTTTGCTGTAAGTGTTCTGTGGCCAGAGGCCGGGGGGTGGGCTGTGAAATAATAGAAAATATATGTATTGGTCTCTGCTCCTAGTTCCTGGCACAGAGTTCCTAAAACCCTTTTAATTTCCTAAGTGATAAGAGCACTAAGGGCAGCCCTAACCGGTTTGGCTCAGTGGATAGAGCATCGGCCTGCGGACTGAAGGGTCCCAGGTTCGATTCCGGTCAAGGGCATGTACCTTGGTTTCGGGCACATCCCCAGTAGGAGGTGTGCAGGAGGCAGCTGATGGATGTTTCTCTCTCATGGATGTTTCTAACTCTCTATCCCTCTCCCTTCCTCTCTGTACAAAACCAATAAAAAAAAATATATTTTTTTTTAAAAAAAAAGAGCACTAAGGGCATCTTTGGCTCTATTTGGTCTCCCCCCCCCAGTTCCTGACACAGGGCTCTAAATCCCTAGGGATCTCCTGGGTCATAAAGGGGTGTTTCTTGTTCTAATGAGGCAACTTTGAGGGGGCTCCTGATACCTCCGGGATGGGGGCTGGTCACCCGGAAGACCATGATTAGCATCTTGGAACTTAGAGCCCCACAGCTCACGTTTCAGGAAGGGGAGAGGGGAGAGGGATTGAGTTAGTAACTGGTCATGCCGATGCGATGAGTCACCATAAAAATCCCAGAAGTATGGGGTTCAGAGAGCTTCAGGGTTGGTGAGCATTGACATGTCGGGAGGGTGGCGCCCCAACTCTACATGGACAGCAGCTCTTTTGCTGGGTTGGGACCCTTCCAGATCTCACCCGATGTGTCTGGCTGTTTATCTGTATCTTTTATTATTTTTTAAACATATTTTATTAATTTTTTACAGAGAGGAAGGGAGAGGGATAGAGAGTTAGAAACATCGATGAGAGAGAAACATCAGCTGCCTCCTGCACACTCCCAACTGGGTATGTGCCCACAACCAAGGTACATGCCCTTGACCGGAATCAAACCTGGGACCCTTGAGTCCGAAGGCCAACGCTCTATCCACTGAGCCAAACCGGTTAGGGCTGCATCTTTTATTATATTTCCCTGAATTCTGTGAGCTGTTCTAGCAAATAATGTGTGGTGGTCATAGGAACCTACGCATTGTAGTCAAGTCAATAGAAATTGTGTTTAAACTTGGTCCCACTGTCTGTAATTGGCATCTGAAAATGGGGGAAGTCTCCTGGGACTGAGCCCTTAGCCTGTGGGGTATGTGCTAGCTCTGGTTAGTGTTGGAAGTGAGTTTTAGGACACTGAGCTGGTGTCAGAGGATTACTTGGCGTGGGGAGTGGGGAGGAACCCACACAGCTGCTGTCAGAGGCGTTGGCAGTGTGGCAATAGTGAGAGAGTGGAGGGGAAACACCCAGGAGGGTGGGGTCTGTAACAGACTGAATTGTGCCCCCCAACCTCCCACCCCAGGACCTCAGAATGTGACTGTATTTGAAGGCAGGGCTTTTACAGAGGTGATTAAGGCTAAATGAGGCCATTAGGGTGGATCCTTATCTAACTTATCTAACTGGTGCCTTTTTTTAAAAAAACCTTTAGGTGTCTTTGTTGTTGTTGTTAATCCTCACCCAAGGATATTTTTTCCATTGATTTTCAGATAGAATGGAAGGAGGGAGGGAGAGAGAAACATAGATGTGAGAGAGACACATTAATTGGTTGCCACCT